AGACAGAGGGAGGGGAGGGGATGGGGGGGAGTGGCTACTGTAGAGTGGAGCGCAGTCTGTGAAGACGGAGCGTGTACACGAGTCTCTTTTTATGTCACTGCATGTAGCTGTAGGAGCTTATTCTGAACCGGTGGAACTTTAGTTTCTGTTCTATTTTTAGTCACTGCCTCTTTTGTAACCCAGGGCTGTTGTATATGCATGAGAGCAGCAGTTTAGTGTTACGTTACGTTGCGTTTACGATCAGTAGTATTGTTATGACGAGTAACGGTGTCTGTTTGTTGATAACGATAACGATAATTATATATACAGTACATATTATTTGTATTATTTTTTTACATTTTCATCGTATGGCAGGCAGTTTTTATTTTTATTTTCCATTTTTGACTTTACTTGTGAAACAAGATGCAAATGAAAGGGGGAAAAAAAATCTGAAAATAAATTATAATCTTTTTTCTAGTTTTTGCATATTCATGTGTGCACTGCTCCCCCCCCCCGCACATCACCCCCCCGACACACACACACACATTTGACTTGTCTTTGTTTTATACAAGTCACTCACGAACAAAGCAAATCAAATTCCTCACCACCCCCCATCTTTCTCTCTTGACTCCCCCCTCTTTCTCTCCATTGGTCTCCCCCTCCCTCCCTTGGTGAGTGTGGCTAATGAGAGACACATGGGATGAGTGTAAGACATGGGAGATGAGCTGCTCCAGTGCACAGCTCTCACCCGGTGGAGAGAACATTCTTTACTGTACTGTGAAAATAAGAGCAGCAGAAAAAAACACCCGTTCAAATGTTGGTCAAAAAGTTCTCAGACGGACGTGTTCCTGCCTCTGACGTTAAACTGAACTAAAACAGCTTGAACCTGTGCGACTGCTGTGTCTGTGTCGGACCAGACCAAGGACCAGGTTCTGACCAGGTGTCAGAGCCGTCCTCCAACACCAGAACAGTAATATTTATATTCCTCCGTGTTAAGAGAGAGACACGAGGAGAGAGAGAAAACGGGGGTGAGCTGTGGGAGTGTGATTTACAGACAGCTGAAGTTTTAGGGGAGCTCTGTGAATACCGAGTCACTCCACTTTTTTATCCTTCTTTACTGATGCATTTCTGTATTTCTGCATAGCAACATCACCTCCAGGATTCTGATACAGTTTGTACCAAGAACAAGGAGCGACTCGGTCTCCAACGTATTTTATACTGACGTAGAGATGGAGCTGCTTCAACGTACACTGTGTTTGCTGTCGTCCACTGTATCCAGCTGTGGGCCGTACTGGACGGTTCAACGGGCCGGTTTCAGACCACGGGCCACCAGTTGATAATCACTGCTCTAGTCCATCCCCTGTGTTCATTATTTCAGCAGTGTTTTTATAGAACTTGTGTTTGCATTGGTATGAAACAGAGCAGTACCACTGGGAATCAGAGGGGGCAGTGTTGTGCAGTATAGCTCATGTCCACCCATAAAAGCAGCAGTGAGAAGAAGACCATGAGGGAACAATGGGAATGGTGGAACCAGGAAGAAGAATTCTCTGTCCACACAGACCACCACTGCCCCCTGCTCTGGGGGGGAGGGGGGGGTGTGGTGTAAGTACTGTTTGAAAAGGACGCAGGTATGAAGGTACGTAGTTAAAGTCAGCATAATGTAGTGTTTGATGTGCATCAGAAGGCTGTTCAATTCCTGGCTGTAAAAACAAACATGGCTGCCGTGCCTCAGTGGGCCCGGTTAGGTTTGCAGACCCCATGTTGAGTACATCAGTTCAAAGAAGCATCACAGAGCAGGGAGATATATCAGGTTTGTCCATTCTTCTAATGCAGCCCATTGTCCTTGGGTACTACGACTGCCTGTGAGTACTACAGTACTTCTTTCAAAGTCACCTTGAGGAAGTATGTCATCATCATGTACACGTGTGACTCGAACTGAGACAAATCAGATTTCTCTGCTGCTGACATTAGATCTGATGATATTCTTGGCCCTTCATCAGTCAGTGACACCGTGAAAGGTTTAGATGAAAGATGAAGTTCATGGTCGCACTGGGCTAATGCTAATGTCTCTACTGCCCTACTGCTGCATCCTACAGATGAAGATGGTTATTATTATTATTATTGTTATTGTTTTTATTATTATTATTAGTAGTAGTAGTAGTAGTAGTAGCAGTAGTAGTAGTAGTAGTAGTAGTAGTAGTAGTAGAGCTTTAGCCAGAGAGAACACTGGTAGCCTCTTCTTTCTAGAACTATGAGTGCAACAGAAAGATGAACCATTTCAGGTAACATTTGAAGAGACTTCTGTGGAACATCCCTGTTATTTATAAAATATTCTCTCGTCATTAATAACTGGCACTGACAAGAGTTCATTTAATGATACATAATGTTAAAATCAAAGATATAAATTACTTTTATATTGTATAATAGATTGTTACAATTCCCTTAGCATCTGTTAGCACAGTTTTAGCATTGAGCTAAACCTGGCTTTAGTTATATAGTATAATACATTATGTTATAGTTCCCTTAGCATCTGTTAGCACAGGTTTAGCATTGAGCTAAACCTGGCTTTAGAGTATATTTAGAGGCCAAATAGTCTGTGAAGTTTATTTTTGTAAAATATTTTAATGGAAAAATATTTTTGCTGGAGTCACAAGATTACATTTGTATCAAAATAATATTCACATACTATATATATTCTGTCTACTAAACTCAAAATGGAGCAGCATGTTCAAATAGCTTGAATAGCGCCCACTGCTAAGGAGCTAAATGCTACTTGTTGACCCACTCTTCACCATGATTGGACTCTGTTTCTCTGTGAGATGTTTGAAGCTGAACTTCCAAACTGAACACTGTGCTGTAACTAATTATGTCCACGTCCTCCGTCCTCTGTCGTCCAGTTTATAGATTTATTCATGCTCTGTTTTACTTCAGACAGTTTGGACACGACGGTCTGTGTACTCAGATGTATACTGTCTGCGTACTGGCCGGCGTTCTCCTCCCAGTGGTGCAGTAATACTTCATACATTTTTGTCTCGTGACCCCCACTAACTTCTTGCACCTGGGCAGAGTCTCCGTGGCTGCTGCTGTGCCTGTCATCCATCCTGGTCCTGCTGACACAGTAGTACTCCCCCCCGACCCCCCCCCCGTGCAGTCACACACAGTACTACACAAACGTACTGTGGAATGTTGATGCAGTATAGTCCTGATGACATCATCAGATATCAATAATTAAACCTTTAATTAGACATTAATTGTTCTTGTATCTCATAGTTCTGTCTGATTTAAATAAACATGCAGATCTGGATGTTGTTCCCCGTGTGTGACACTTTTTCAACTCAGTCTTTCATTTTCACAGAGATGTCGGCGTGTCGTCTCGTCTCGTCAGCTGAAGTGTTCACTTGACTGAACGGAGCTCCTGCAGGAGCACGAGTGCTCCAGGTGAAGCGCCCTCCTTTAAGTGAGTGATGCCTCAAAGTAATTAAGATGTCTGACAGCTTTACTGCTGCTGAATGAAGAGCGTGTTCTACACAGTTGTTATCGGCAACTCCAGGGTTGTTATTATTAGAGCCTGTGATCCCCACTGAGTGTGTACACAGCAGGGAGACTTTTTAAAGCCTTCAACACACACACACACACACACACACACACACTCTCTGCATCAAAATCATTGGGTTTGTACTATTTGCTGTATATGTTTGAACAGCAAACCTGTTCAATGGGAAGCAGGTTGTTGCTGATGTCACACACCTGTATGACTGATTTCATTCTAAGCCATTACATTTACAACATGCATATATATATATATATATATATATACTTTATATCTGTTAGTATATATATATATATAAATAAAATTAAAGAAAATCATGTTTGTTTGGAATCATCAGCTTTATTGGCACCATGAGGGAAAATGCACAAACAAGAAATGTGACTTTATTGTTACTTGATATGACACAAAATGGGGAAAAGAACATTTTTATCTATCTCTATTCATAACATACACAACAGTCTGTTAATAATCTTAATAACGGGGGTATATTTGGTTAAAAACACATTTCTGCTCTGGGAAAGTGTTCAGTTCTGTAGTGTTTATTTTGGCTCATGTTAAATCAGTAGATAAACTATAATTACCACTAATCACATTTTGAAATGTTTAATGTGGAGATAAAATCGACCTTCTGCACTGACAAGATATTGGAGAGGAAACTCTGCTACTGCCACCTACTGGGGGAACATCGCAATTTACTTGTATTTGAAATAGCAGGATTCAGTACACACCACCAAAAATATATAAAGTATTTACTGTGTTACTGTGGAATGACTTCTACGTCTACTTCTACTTCACTACGGGTTTTCTTTTTTTTTTTTTAAATTGTCACTAGCCAATCAGAGTGACCTGAGGTTTGTTAAGGTTGCTGCACATTTACCAGAAAAACATGAACATGAAAACAGACGGTACATTCTTTGTCTGCAGCTGCTGGACGTTTTATATTAAAACTATAGGAAAGAAACCATGAAACGACAACAACAACAACAACAGCAGCTAAGGTGAAGTTTCACTGTGCTGGTCAGGACGGTCCTACAGGGACATGGTCCCTCTTGTGGACACTCCTGACATGTCTGCCCAGGGACTCCATCCATTTAAAGGATTTACCACAGAAATTGCAGATAAAGTGTTTTCCCTCAGTGTGGATGGTCTGGTGTCTGTTGAGGGCACTGGTGGTGATGAAGGTCTTCCTGCAGATCTCACACCTGTACGGCCTCTCGCCCGTGTGTGTCCTGATGTGAGCCGTCAGGTGAGAACAGTTGCTGAAACGCTTCTCGCACACCGAGCAGCTGTAGGGCTTGTCCCTGCTCTCGTCGCTGTTGCCGTTGTTGTGGTAGGGGTGAAAGGTCAATGAGGGCTCCTGCAGGCCCGTCTTTAAACTGGACGAGGCAGAGATGAAGTCCTTAATGTCTGAATCCAGGCCCTCCAGCTGCTCTTCATCGTGACTGGTCCAGAAATCTCTGTGGCTCTTCTGCTGCTCCTTCTTGATCTCTGAGGGCTCTGCATGCTCCTGCTCCATGGTGCTGCTGCTGCCCCCGTCCTCCTCCTCCTCATCAAAGTGATGGGACTCTGAAGTCTCGAGTGATGGATGGTGCTGTCGAGGAGGAGGAGGAGCATGGTGATGATGGCTGGGCTGCAGCTGAGATGGAAGACAATTGTCTGTCCCCGGTTCTAAAGGGAGAAAAACACAAAGCCCTGATATCACAGTTACCACATTGAAACAAACATCCGGGAGGTTCGGTACTGATTAAGAACGAAATGTAAACCGTACCCGTCTTCAGAAGCGTCAGCTGCATCCGGAGACGATTGATTTCCAGGTCTTTGGAGCGAAAAATCTCCTCTTTGTACTCGGTTATTGTCTTTTCTACCGCGCAGAAAATGTCCTCGGCCGCTGCCGCCAACCTGTCGTTGAGGAAAGCTTTGAGAGACAGCATTATGGACATTTTTGACGGGGAAATGAAAGGAGCTCGGGGACGTAGTGGAGCGGGTCCCGTTAACGTCACGCTTCACTTGTAAACACGGACATGAGACCGAGCAGCGCACAGGGTAATGGACTAGGAGGTGCTGCCCCCTCCTGATCAGGAGGGCAAACGTTTTAGTTCTCCTTCTAAGTCTGGGCAAAGAGAAAGAGAGGATTGTAACTCTGGACCTGTTTGGAAATGTTGCACAATATTTAGTTTAGATTTTGAAGCAGTATATCTGAGAATATTTTTTTATATTTCACTTGAAGAAAATTAAAAACATTTTAATATTATGTAGCTAACATGAGGTACGTAACAACAGCACCCATAAAACTTACCAGTCACTAACAAAGTTATATTATTAAACAAAGAGTAATAAAGGAAATACTAATAGGTTCCCTTATTTATTTATATCATAGTTTATTTTTAAATATACTAGAGAGAAATAAAACCTGTATGTAGTGAAGCTTCAGTAATGTTTTAGTAAAAATGTATTTATTTATACCGCGGTAATGTATTTTAAATTAGTTCTACTTTTTTATCAGTACTGTAGTGGAACTGTTGCACCGGTGTTGCTGTGCCACAAAATTATATGACTTAACAAGACGATGTCATTGACGTCGAAAAATGTTTATGTTCATAACTATATCGGCTGCAGTGATATTTTAATACAGTTTTAATTCTACACCACTTTATGGACTTCTAGAACAGAGGACAATCGTCAGACTGTCCCGTGAGACACGTTATAATAAATCTCTGACTGTTTTCAATAACGACTTGGTAGTTTGTTGTTGTTGTATGTGGGTAATGCTATTGTAATTAGCATTAGCCGTCGTCTTCCGGCTCTGTTTTTAGTTTTTTCATTATGATTTACGTTTTAACTGGTGGTGTGTTCAATGTCTTCAATGACGTGTATCGCTGTTTGTGTTTTGTGTTGTCCTAATGTCAACGTTTGTCTTTATTACTCCTTTGTGCTTGGGCCTTGACTCGCCCAACGATATGAAATTCACATGCTGAAATGACCGAGCCACCCTTGAATGCACCGTGTACTCAGATTAAGCGGGGCTGCTGCTGCTGCCGCCGGGTCTACGTGCGGCTGAAAACGCAGCATCGACCCCAACATGTAACGAACCTTGAACGCAGCATCACACAGCCAAACTCATTCATTTGTCTTCTTCTTCTTTTTTTACAAAGACACCTGTGACCAGTGACGTTGACTTCAGTGAGACAGGAGCGGTAAAAGACGCAGCACTGAGATGCTAACTGTGACGTTGTAGATAAACCATCATTAACACTAATCAAATTTTAAAATGTTGTTTAACGTGGAGATAAAATCGGGTTTTCTACAGTTAGATGTTGGAGATAAAACGCCGCTACTGCCACCTACTGGAGAAAAAGCGCAATTGACTCGTATTTTAAAGAACAGGATTCAGTACACACCGCCAAGGATGTACTGTATAAAGTATTTGTAATGTACTGTGTTGATATAAATGATCATTTATCAAAGAGCGACTCATGTTTGTCTTCTACTGTTACTACATTATGGACCAATCAGAGTGACCTGAGGTTTGTTAATGAGCAGCACATTTACCAGAATAATTTGAACATGACATGAAAACAGACGGACGTTTTATATTAAAACTGTAGAAAAGACAACATGAAACAACAACGACAACAACAGCTGAGGTGAGGTTTCACTGTGCTGGTCAGGACGGTCCTACAGGGACATGGTCCCTCTTGTGGACACTCCTGACATGTCTGGTCAGAGAATCCATCCATTTAAAGGATTTACCACAGAAATTGCAGATAAAGTGTTTTCCCTCAGTGTGGATGGTCTGGTGTCTGTTGAGGGCACTGGTGGTGATGAAGGTCTTCCTGCAGATCTCACACCTGTACGGCCTCTCGCCCGTGTGTGTCCTGATGTGAGCCGTCAGGTTGGAATTATTAGTGAAGGTCTTCTCGCACATCGAGCAGCTGTAGGGCTTGTCCCTGCTCTCGTCGCTGTTGCCGTCGTTGTGGTAGGGGTGAAAGGTCAACGAGGGCTCCTGCAGGCCCGTCTTTAAACTGGACGAGGCAGAGATGAAGTCCTTAATGTCTGAATCCAGGCCCTCCAGCTGCTCTTCATCGTGACTGGTCCAGAAATCTCTGTGGCTCTTCTGCTGCTCCTTCTTGATCTCTGAGGGCTCTGCATGCTCCTGCTCCATGGTGCTGCTGCTGCCCCCGTCCTCCTCCTCCTCATCAAAGTGATGGGACTCGAGTGATGGATGGTGCTGAGATGGAAGACAATTGTCTGTCCCTGGATCTGAAAGGAGAAAAACACAAAGCCCTGATATCACAGTTACCACATTGAAACAAACATCCGGGAGGTTCGGTACTGATTAAGAACGAAATGTAAACCGTACCCGTCTTCAGAAGCGTCAGCTGCATCCGGAGACGATTGATTTCCAGGTCTTTGGAGCGAAAAATCTCCTCTTTGTACTCGGTTATTGTCTTTTCTACCGCGCAGAAAATGTCCTCGGCCGCTGCCGCCAACCTGTCGTTGAGGAAAGCTTTGAGAGACAGCATTATGGACATTTTTGACGGGGAAATGAAAGGAGCTCGGGGACGTAGTGGAGCGGGTCCCGTTAACGTCACGCTTCACTTGTAAACACGGACATGAGACCGAGCAGCGCACAGGGTAATGGACTAGGAGGTGCTGCCCCCTTCTGATCAGGAGGGCAAACGTTTTAGTTCTCCTTCTAAGTCTGGGCAAAAATACAAACAATAAAAGAAGATTGTAAACTTGAACCTGGCACATTATACCGGAGAATATTTATACATTTCACGTGCAAAAATTGAGAATAAAAATATTAAAATAGTCTAATTTAAAAACGCATTTATACTGCAGAAGAGAAAGTGTTTTAACATAATGCACGAAGGAAATTAAATTATTATATATTTACTTATATCAGACCGTTGAATACATAGCCACTCCCAACCAAAAAACTCACATATCTTAAAACGTTATACTTCAGTATCAAAAAACTCATACATACATATCTTAAAACGTTATACTTCAGTACACAGCATTGTGTGTACTGTACTGTACTGTAGTAGTGAATACTCTGTATTGGTTTAATGTCAGGATATAAATAGCAGTGAAAAGCATCTCTACATGGTATTGTCTGAACTGGAGTTCACTCTGTAACAAGAGACTCTCCGGTGCCCGGGTCCTGAGAATAGCTCTGGGACCAGGATGGAGTCGAGAGCCGATGGTCGTCTGACATAAAGGTGATGACATCAGAGAGCCGTGATCCAATAAAGTTACAAGGAGAGCAGACTCTGTTAACAGTCCAGAAACTGTTTATTACACAGTATGTTTCTTTACAGTCGTTCAACCTTGAACCTGTCTGCCGTGACACATGACCTCATGTCAGAGGAGCCAATACGAGTAGATCATGCACATCTACGGGGACGTCGAAGCCACAGAGGAACATCAGAACTATACACAAGAGACGGCAACACTATGAACGGACCAGAGCCCTGACGCTGCTGAGGTGAAAACACACACTGCTCATCCATCTCACACATATACATCTGCTCTTCACAGCTGGAGCTCATGGTGTATGACACACAGACGGTGGACGTGTCAACCCATCCACCTTCTCTAGCACAGACACAGATACGCAACGACGGATAAAGAAAAAGGAAGGAATGACATCATTACACTAAACGCTTTAATAACAGGTGGGGGGAGGGGGAGTGAGTGTCCAAGTGCTGAAAGAAAGGTTAGACGGAAATGGATTATCTGGAACAGGATCTGCGTCGTCACACTGCAGCTCCCGGGGGTTTCCTATTGTTTGGCGTTGATGATATCGATGAACTCTGGCTTCAGGGAGGCTCCGCCCACCAGGAAACCATCAACGTCCTTCTGGGAGCCCAGTTCTTTGCAAGTACCGCCGGTCACGGACCCTGAGGAGAGGACTCAGTTAGTAAAAAATGGATCGAATCAAAGACAATTCCAACAACTGACACGTGTCCAGGCCACCGACCTCCGTAGATGATCCTCACAGACTTGGCCACCTCCTCAGAAACGTTGGCCTTCAGCCACTCCCTCAGTTTCTCATGAACATCCTGAGCCTGAGAGTTCAACCAATCAGAGCATTCATCATCGTGTGCAGTATCTCAAAAGGTGAGGAAATATTTAGCTAATATTTACCTGCTGTGGGGAGGCAGTCTTGCCGGTGCCAATGGCCCACACGGGTTCGTAGGCCAGCACGACTTTGCTCCAGTCTTTAACATTGTCTGTGAAAAGAGACGTGTGATAAGAAACAAACTGCTGTTTCGTAAGTCTGACTGCAGCTCAAACATTCCCTGAAACGTGAGTTTCAACATTCGTTTTGTCAGTTCAACTCTGCACGGACTGACAAACGCTCCCGGGTTCCAAACCCATGTGATCAGCGAGCGTGACGGAGGGCTGTGTACCTGCGATGAATTTGGTCTGAGCGTAGACGACCTTCTCTGTGATGCCGGCCTCTCGTTCGTCCAGCTTCTCACCAATGCAGGCGATCACACCGAGACCGTTCTCCAGAGCGTGTGCGGTCTTCTGACCAATGAGCTAACACAGGAAAAACAGCAAAGATGTAGCCAGTCAGCAACTTGTTAGCTGTTAATTACTGTGTTTAAGATCAGAATTATACATTTAATATAGTTTGATATGAAGCCTGTAGATTTGTAACCATGGTGATAAAGTAATCACCTCATCGCTCTCGCCAAAGACGTGGCGCCTCTCGGAGTGTCCCAGGATCACCCAGTTCACACCACAGTCTTTGATCATCGCAGGGCTGAAAGAAACTTTAATTTAATATCTTCCAACTTTCTCTCATTTATTATTCATCCAAAACAGGTGAGAAACACTGACATCTAGCGGTTGATGTTGGTCTATCTGTTCCAATGATGTACAGAAAAAAAAACATTTTATGTTGAATTTAGACACCCTGATGTTTATCAAATAATCATGATTAATCCATAGCTATCCAGCCATTAATCTAATTAATGGCTGGACAGTTTGTTATTTTACTTCACACACACACAAACACAACACACCTGATCTCCCCAGTGAAGGCGCCCTTGGGAACTTTGTAGCAGTTCTGTGCAGCCACTCCAAACTTAGCGTCCAGCTTGGACCTGACAAAGTCCAGGTAGATGGATGGAGCACCGCACACCACCTCTGTCGACACAGAGCCACAAGGCAGAGACGGTGAATGACGACCGTCGTGTTAGCAGATGTTAGATGGAAGCCACATCTACACTGAATGGAGTTCTGCAACGTCATGGCTCAGTGGAGAAGAACTTTGTCTTTCACCAATAGTGTTGTGGTTTGAGTCCAAACTTAGATGCTCATTATCCCCCTGCTGCCTGGAGTCGGTAAAGACAATGAGCTGAATTGATAATTATTGATCACATGCACGTCTGGGTGAAAAGATGCATAAAATAATTTTAAATGTTGGATCTCATTTGTGGGATTTTTTTTTTTTTTAACTGAAGACAGCAGCGGTACGTTTTATAGAGTTTATAAGTACAGCAGCTTCAGTTAACTCACTGACATTTATAATGTAACTGTATTCCCTTCTTGGTATTAATGGTGAAGTAAAGGTCATGCCTCCCCAGCCATACTCAGAGACTCAGGGCATAAAAGGTCTGAGTTCAGCCTCTCAAAGGTCAGCTAGATGGCAGCATTCTGTAGAAGTCACCGGTCTGACACCGGTCAGACGGTCAAAGAAAAGAGTGTCCATGTCGATTCATGTGGAGGAAATCAGTCCGGTGGAATAAAGTGGTGAACTTTGACTTTAACGTTGGAGGAGAGCAGCCGGCGGGGAGCGCTTTTCTTGGGTTTCAGTACTGCACTGTAGGGGGAGTATTTTCTAACGGAGTAAGGTTCAAGGCTACAGGCAGGACAGAATACCAGTCTGTCTTTGAGCTGATTGGGTTTGTAGTCCACAAACACACACAAACCATTGCATAACACAACATTTGCAGAAGGAGCACAACTGGCTGAATGACAGGAAACAGGCCTCGACACATCAGTGACTTCCTGTGCATTTAGAAATAAAACGGCAGCAACGGCTCTGTGTTCAGTCAGGTCAGCATGACTCTCTGATCAAGTAATGGATGAGTTTATTATTACTAATTATTACTCAATGCCTGTGGAACTGTGCCTATTTGAACTAAAGGTTCCAAACATTTGTGCAACTATGGAACTCTGTCATAACTGGTTGTTCTCTCTGATTGGTTGACATTCGATTTTTTTTTTTTAAATGACCAGAAACTAATACAATAAGATAAGGTATAAATAGTACAAATAGAGTACTTATAACACTTACTACTCACCATAAAACATGTATGTAGTGAAGCTTCAGTAAAGTTTTAGTACAAATTTGTTTATTTCAACCACTAGAATTTATTAATAAATAATAAATCTCTAACTGTTTTCAATAACGACTTGGTAGTTTGTTGTTGTATGTGGGTTTATGCTGCTATCATTAGCATTAGCCGTTGTCTTCCGGCTCTGTTTTTAGTTTTTTCATTATGATTTACGTTTTAACTGGTGGTGTGTTCAATGTCTTCAATGACGTGTATCGCTGTTTGTGTTTTGTGTTGTCCTAATGTCAACGTTTGTCTTTATTACTCCTTTGTGCTCGGACTCTGACTCGCCAAATGATTTCAAGTTCACATGCTGAAATCACCGAGCCACCCTTGAATGCACCGTGTATTCAGAATAAGCGGGACTGCTGCTGCTGGGTCTACGTGCGGCTGAAAACGCAGCATCGACCCCAACATGTAACGAACCTTGAACGCAGCATCACACAGCCAAACTCATTCATTTGTCTTCTTTTTTACAAAATCACACATTTGACCAATAAAGTTGACTTTAGTGAGACAGTAGCGGTAAAAGATGCAGCACTGAGACATAACTGTGACATTGGTTCGCTGAATGACCGGGCCGTGTTTTCCCACCAAGGCCGTGTAGCATAAAGAGATGAGCATTTAAGATGCTAAAATAAACGCTGGCGGTTATGAAGGTGGGGTAAAGAAAACACCTAAACTGTCAAAACACCCCCCAAAACGTCCTGTGAGGTGACCCTTCGGATGAACGTACCGACATTGGGGTCCACCTTGCCTCCGTTCATGGTCTGGATGAGATCCCCAAGGCTTTTCTTGTCGCCATTCATCTTCCAGTTTCCACCAACGAAAAACTTTCTGGACATTTTTGCAGAGTTTTTTATTGTGTAACTTGCAGAAAATGGAAAAAAACAAAACCTGTAGCTACAGTCAAACACGGGTCACCTCCTCTTGGGCAGAGAGCGAGCGCGTCAGAGTTGTCAGGGGTATTTATAAACACGGGCATCCAGAGCCCTCCTCTGCGTCAGGCTCATTGGTTTGGCCCGTGACGTCTGTGAACGCATCGCCCCATTTCAGGAAGAGGAAGAGCGAAATGTCATGTTGCGTTCAAAGACACCTCTGAAAGTGAGGTGATAAATCACTGCTGTTATTTTTTTTTATAAATCTCAACGAAAACGGATTAAATAGTCAGTAATGAACTGAAAAATAATACAAATATAATTATTCATAAATTTCTGATCTTAAAATCTTAAGATTCTGAGAATGAAGTATGACTTCTAGATTAAGAGTTATGAATAAAAAGGCTCACACATTGGATTTTATCAAAATTCTAATATTTTAAACTCTAACTTGGATGTCTGGAAATTAATATCTTTACCCTAGTATTGTTTTTACGTCTTAAAAAAAACGTTGTTCTTAGTATCACCCTTAGGGGGCAACCTTTCACTGTAACGCTGAACAGTTCTAATTTGAAACTTCTTCCTGCT